AGGTTTTGAGGTCGGAAGTGGTTTTTGTCTAGGAATGAGCCATTGTTTTTAGCATTTAATATTCACATAGAGAATCCATTTTTCATCACTGGTGACAATTCTGTTCAAAAATGGTTCAGATGCATTACACACCAGAAGAGACGAAGCAACGTTCACACGTTGGAAATAATGATCATCTGAGAGTTCGTGGAGCACCCAAACACCTTCTTTATGGAGTTTTCCCATATTCTTTAGAAACATATTGTTTCATGAGAGACATGCAATTTCACGAGTGTGTTACACTGGGTTAGACTCAACAAGCATCTTCGGAGCATCAATTCCAACATGTCGGCCCCTGCCATCACAGTTTTTAAGACTAAAGCCACCTAAACAAAATTTGCTGAACCATCATTGATACTTACAAACATTCAAAACATTTCCATAAACTTCTTTGATATTCATTGTGGCTACAAAGGCATTGTTTCCCTTCTTGTATTCAAACAACATTACATGCCGAATGTGTGTCTTGTCGTGTACCATCACTATAAGGGATTAGAGTATACTAAACTTTACACATTACATAGGCTACACTAACGTGATGTTTAAGCATTTCGTTTAACTATTATATGTGATGCACGTTTTTTGGAGGTGGTTAATGAAAGTGTTCCCAAACGCGACATTAATTTCTTGACGACCTAATATTTTCACCCCAGTTGTTCATATTCTGGTAGGTTTGGAGTTTGTGCCCCACAGATATTGGACATTCTGCAACCATGATATTGTCACTGTCAGATTTCTGAAGGCTTTAGTTTACCTTGAGTTACTATTAACACTTGTTTAACCAACATTTACTGATCACACACAGAGATTTAACCAACATTTACAGAATACACATAGAGATTTAACCAACATTTACAGATAACACACAAAGATTTAACCAACATTCATTGATCACACATAGAGATTTAACCAACATTCATTGATCACACATAGAGATTTAACCAACATTTAATGATCACACATAGAGATTTAACCAACATTCATTGATCACACATAGAGATTTAACCAACATTTACTGATCACACATAGAGATTTAACCAACATTCATTGATCACACATAGAGATTTAACCAACATTCATTGATCACACACAAAGATTTAACCAACATTCATTGATCACACACAAAGATTTGACCAACATTTACTGATCACACATAGAGATTTAACCAACATTTACAGAATACACATAGACATTTAACCAACATTTACAGACAACACACAAGGATTTAACCAACATTCATGGATCACACTTAGAGATTTAACCAACATTTACTGATCACACATAGAGATTTAACCAACATTTACTGATCACACATAGAGATTTAACCAACATTCATTGATCACACATAGACTTAACCAACATTTACAGATAACACACAAAGATTTAACCAACATTCATTGATCATACATAGAGATTTAACCAACATTTACAGATAACATACAAAGATTTAACCAACATTCATTGATCACACATAGAGACTTAACCAACATTTAATGATCACACATAGAGATTTAACAAACATTTACTGATCACACGCACAGAGATTTAACCAACATTTAATGATCACAGATAGGGATTTACCCAACATTTTATGATCACACATACAGATTTAACCAACATTCATTGATCAGACATAAACTTAACAAACATATAATGATCACACATAGATTTAACCAACATTCACTGATCACACATAGAGACTTAACCAACATTTAATGATCACACATAGAGATTTAACCAACATTTACTGATCACACACACAGACATTTAACCAACATTTACTGATCACACACAGAGATTTAACCAACATTTAATGATCACAGATAGGGATTTACCCAACATTTTATGATCACACATACAGATTTAACCAACATTCATTGATAACACATAAACTTAACCAACATTCACTGATCACACATATATATTTAACCAACATTTACATATTCAGTAACTTAAAGAAGTGTTCATAAATTATTATAATAATAATAACAAACACAGAAAACCTGGAAATCCTATCTAAACATGACAAGCATACGTATTTCAATCACATTTCCTGTTGTTTTTTTACTCAAGATAAATACGCTGATCAATCTACCTCTCTGTTTATTATTATTGTATTTTTTCTTTTAAAACTGAACTTACTTTACTAATGAATGTGGGAGAAAGCTTGGCTGTAGGCAAAGTCACATCAAAGTATCGAGAGAGAGTCCTCTGTGGCAAGTAAATAATAATCACAAAAAAAAATAGTTACTAAAAAATAAACTACATTTAATTATTATTTTTAAAGTACTGTAGAAATGCCTATTTTTTGCAGTTACTCTATTTATGTGACACTAAATATATTTGGTATTTTTGACCCAAACAGCACCTTATGTAACACATTGGCTAAATGGCTAAGCCTTGGAACCTAAGAATCAGGAATTCCCCTTCCTAACTAAAAACTGCTCATCACAACACTCTGGTTTGCAGAATTAATACTTGATTAAGGAAGAACATTATGCTAATGTAATATTAAGTAGGCAAACAAGCAAAATGAAGAGATATATTTATGGTGGAGCATACTACATTACATGAAGAAGACAGAACAATGACTTGTCGAAAATGTAGTATATAAATCACTTCAATGTGCTCATAACTTGTTGTTTGCCTAGTAATAAGAGAATGAATACTTTTTAACATCAAAAATGTATGTAGAATTATACACAGACTTTTCTCTATGTTAAAATATATATACTTAGTATTTTAACGTACAGAAAAGTCTGTGTATAATTCTACATATTAATTTACCTACATTATGAGTCTTAAACAACAATTATCAGAAATGTATGTTAAGAGAGCAACAGAATGAATACCTTTGACATGAAATGCAAGTTAACTGAACAATAGAATGAATACTTTTGACATAAGAAATGCATGTTAACTAACAACAGAATGAATACCTTTGACATGAAATGCATGTTAACTGAACAACAGAATGAATACTTTTGACATAACAAATGCAAGTTAACTGAACAACAGAATGAATACTATTGACATAAGAAATGCAAGTTAACTGAACAACAGAATGAACACTTTTAACATAACTTGCATTAACTAAAGAACACAAGAAGTGTATGGTAAAGGAACCTCAGAAAGTTAACACTTTCTTAAATGGAAAATGTATTTCCAAAACATACTTACCTCCTCTAATGCTACAGCTATTTCTCGACTGCCAAGGTTTCTTTCTTTGCCTGTCTAAGTATTGATCTGATTTTTTCTCACTTGCTCATCTTTTATACCCCACTTAATTGCCCTTGGCGATATCTGTCATGGGACACTCTCCACCTGTGTCAATGTGTCCTCTATCCTGGTACTGTATATAAGCACCTCATTCAGATAATGTTACTTTTTTTCAAGATTGACTCACTCTGCAGTCTCTAACACCTGCATTATACATACAGAAAGTGTCTTCATACATCATGGGTGTGTCAATAGAAGATTTGCACCCAAGTTGGGGCACCGCAGTACATTCAGAACAGGTATGCTCTTCATCCAGAACTTAACTCATATACTGTGGGTGGAACTTTACATGATTTATCATCACTATTGGCCAGGCCCCAATTAGATAGCTGAGGTTCCACTGCTTGGGTTGGAATTATAGGGCCATGGTCCC